TATTCCAAGGTATTTCAGTCAACTTTTTCACTGCTGTGACCAAAAGACCTGACAAGCACAATCAGAGGAGGAAAAGTTTATTTTATGTTTCATAGTTTCAAAGGTCTCAGTCCATAGAGAGCTGTCTCCATTTCTCAGTGATTGAGGTGAGGTAGAACATCATCATGGCAGAAGGTATGGTGGAGGAAAGCAGCTCAAGAGATCAGACCAGGAAACAAGAGAGTCTCTACTCACAAGACTCAAAATATATACCCCAAAGGCACTCCTCCCCACCATGACCCACCTCCTCCAGCTACACCTTACCTGGCTAGTTACCACTCAGTGAATCCCTATAAGAGGATTAATTCACTGATTGGGTTAAGGCTTTCATCACCCAATCCTTTCACCTCTAAACCTTTTTGCATTGTTTCACTCATGAGTTCTGGGGGGACATCTCACATCAAAAACCATAACACAAGGTCCTTGGAGTCTTACCCTATGCATGAAAACGTTCAGTCAGTCAGTGGCTTAAGGGGAATTTTTATGAAGTTATTTGTGTTTTTCCTTTGTGATTCCTTCACATCTAATGTTTTGCCTCAAGTCCAACATATTCACAGCTCTCAACACTAACTCTTCTCTCTTTATTAAAGCACTGAAAGATGACTGAAAACATAAAGAACCCCAGTGATGTTTAGGGAAACAAAATTAGAGTCTTACAAGAAGAGGAGAATATGAAAAAGTTTAAAATATTTGAAGAAATAGAGTTGGTGAAAGGCATAACTTATAGATCCAAGAATTACAACAAGTACCAGACAGTAAAATATAGAGAACTAGACCCAGGCTCATCATAATCAGACTACTGAAAATAAAGAGAAAAATCTTAAAAAGCTTATGGGGGTGAGGATGGATACCACACATCACTAACGGAGAAGCAACACTACAAATGACAGCCAACTTCTCATCAGAAGCAATGGAGTCTGAAATACAATGGAATATCTTTAAAATACTAAAAGGGGGACAGAGAGTCTACTCAGAATCCTGTATCAAATGAAGATATCTCTCAAAAAGTAAATAAAGATATTTCTGTTAAATGGAAGGTGAGGAATTCAATTGCATGTAGACTTACACTATTAATATAAAAATGTTTTAAACAGTCCTTTGCTACTTTGTCTTGCTTAATTGTCCTAATCCCCCCAACTGACCAGGTTAATCCCATATGCTGACAGGTTTTAGGACATCTATTCCACAATTCATGACAAAAAGATTATCTGATTTAATGATGTTGAGGTAGGCATAATATAAATTGCTACTTTCCAAAACAGAAGTGGGGAAATTTCCTTTCGATTTGTCATAACTACTACAATAAAGCTCTCTGAACATAGGTGGCTAATGCTTCTTCTTTGGTGCAGGCAGAGAAGCCAGGTCAGCACGTGGAGGACATAGCTAGACTACTTTTGAAGGGAAGTCCTCATTCTGGGTGTGCTTATCGCAAAACGACAGGAAGTCAAAGAGAACTGGCCAAACAGAGCACAGGAAAGTCAGAGAAGGGCTGGAGTCTTTGGTCTGCTATAAAACGTAACATTCTGGCTCCTCATAAAACAGGGAACAATGAATGTCTCAGGCAATTGATATTAGCATTAAATACATTAGCAAAAAAGTAGAGTGAGCACTTTTCCTTTTGTGCTAATCACATGGAGAAATCCTCTCAAGAGTTATGATTGTACTCAACCAAATCTTATTCCCATATTAACATATAAGGTAGTTTGTCAATCTTTCAAGGTCAGAAAAGAAAAACAGTGTTCCCCATCCTCGTCAATAAAAGATGAAGCCCTTCAGCTATGCTACCATTCCGGCTTCCATAAATGGTTATCTCCGGCATTACTTATATAGACTTATTTTTTTAAGCTCCAGAATAAAATAGTTCCCTGGAGGAGAAAGAAGTAATTTGTTTACTTAGACTGAAGTTCTTTTCCCTGACAACCACAGAAATGAATATCCTAAATATAAAACCCTGAAGAGAAACATAATAAATAACAGCATTTGGAACCAGATTAAATTTGTAATCTGGCTCTGTCACTTACCTTTGTGACCTTGGTAAGGTTGACATGGGTATTTCAGTTTCCTTATCTATAAAAAGAAGACAAGGGTACCTTCCTTACTTAGGACTATTTTTGAAAACATGAGTTATGTATATTGGGTATTAGCATAGATACTAAGCACAGTTACATCTTTGCTATCAAGACTTTGTACAAATTCCAGCCCTCTAATTTTTTTCTATTCCTACTACTTAGATTCCAGAAAAGCTTTCTTTTATCACAGAGCAATAATTCTTCTATTTGAAAATATGCATCTATTGGTTTTCTAGGAACTTGTCACACCCCAGAGGTACTTCAGCCTGGTAATTCTGACAAATAGTGCTCACCACTTGCTGACCACAAGAAAACAAGGTTGCTGAGGGCTTGCATGACTGGGCTCGTGACTGATCTTCCTATGAGAACTGTATTGTGTAAATGTCATGAACCAATGCTTCCATTCCATCAAATCCTCTTTCTCCATAAAGAAGCAGGTGGCCTGGAAGACAACACTGCGGAACTTCTCATAGTTGAAGGTCTGTGAATATTGTCCCTCCGGGTTGCGGGGGGAGGGGACAAAGTAGCAAGTGCTAAAAGAGATTCTTATCTAGTAGCAAGACCAGTCACACAAAAGGAGAAAAGAAAGGAAACATGGGCCAAATTTCTTTAAAAAGGTGGTTCAGGGATGGGGCTGGGGCTGAGTGGTAGAGTGCTTGCCTGAGGCACTGGGTTTGATGCTCAGCACCACATAAAAATAAAATATTGTGTCCACCTACAACTAAAAAAATACATTTAAAAAAAAAGTGGTTCAGCTTGGTAACCCTTCAAACTGAAAATGCAAATAAGGTGCAAAAATATGAAGAGAATTATGACTTTTTTAATATAATAAATTCTAAACAAACCTAAAGATTTGGAAAAATATAAAAACTGCACTGGAGGTCAAAATAACAGACTCTTAAAAGACAGCTAAATTCAACTGAAATACAGGTTAAACTACTTTTAATGCACAGTCAAAAGCCTAAGAAAAGCAGAAGTAAAAACTATGAGGGAAGAAATACTATAAGGCAAGCACAATGATGAGCTGTGGATGTGTCAGGGCTGGCCTACGTGTTCAGTGAACCATCTGCCATTGGAGCAGCCGGTCTTTCATCTTGGTATGTCCACTCTCACGCTCCTGTGGGTGGACATCTGGGACTGCAAGCACCTCCCAGGAACGAGGATGGACAGCAGCAACTTCCTCTTTCTCTACCTGGTTGAAAGAACTTCAAGAGGAAGTGAATGAGAATAAAAACTTCATTCAAGAAAGAATAAATCCACAGGGCACCAGACAACTACGAAGAATCCATCTGTGGAGATCTCTGTCCATCCAGCCATCCACACCACTGTGTACGCCCAGGCTACAATTCAAGCAAGGCCTCTGCCCTCCAGCTCTGGCCATGGTGAACTCGGGCCTTCACCACCAGGTGCGACAGGACTCGCTGGGGGCTGCATCGTTTTTGCCTTACCTGCTCTTCTGGCAGTAGCCACCCTTATCTTGGAGGACCTGTACCTGTGTTGGGTGAAATTGGGGATGGTTATATTCTCAGTATTCTTCTCCTAAGCACATCCTTAGGGATCTGTCTAGGTCTGCACCTCCCATTTTGGTCTCCATACCAATAAAAGCAGTTCAGTCTTGTCCTCGGTGTCTGTTCGTACAAAGCCCTCGATGGGATCACTACTCCTGCTTAACCTAAGAATGAAGTTGTACATAATCTGGATGTAGGTTTGGGGATCTTTATGACCTAACATCATAAAAACACTACTTTGGCTAAGTTTTTTACTTCATGTGGGGCTTTAATTATCAAAGAGTAAAATGATTGGGAAATAAGGGGTAGTATGAAGCTGTTGTCTTCTTGCAATATTTTATGTACTACATTCAAGAAAATAAACATCTGCATTATGTTTTTAAAATCAATTTTCCTCTCCAGGTATGAATAATATGCCAAAATACATTCTACTGCCGTGTATAACTAAAAAGAACAAATCCATTTTCCTGCTCATGGCTTAAGTAAATGTCTAGTCTCTTCACAGTTCTTGAGCCCTGACCATTCTCCTCTGCTAACCCAAAGTATGACACTAACATTGTCAACTGGTGACAGCTCTGGAGAACGTTAAGGTTACAGCTCCACATTTTTTTGGATTCTATTAAAGTTAAAATATCTAACATTCTGTACACAATCAGGTTAAAATTCATCTTTGAATAGCCATGATTTTTTTTTTTAGAGAGAGAGAGAAAAATTTTTTTAAATATTTATTTTTCAGTTTTCAGTGGACACAACATCTTTATTTTTATGTGGTGCTGAGGATCAAACTCAGCGCCCGTGCATGCCAGGCAAGCGCGTTTCCACTTGAGCCACATCCCCAGCCCCGCCACGATTTTAAAAGCGGTTCATTAAAAATATAGAACAAAATTTTAAAACAAATGTTTAGCCAACAAGTTTAAGAATTTTAAAAGCATAAATTTAAATCCAGTAGACCTGAGAAATCTTATTAGTAAAAGGATTGCTAAATGACCTCTAGACACATGCATCTACATGGCCGGTTCTATTCCCACAAAATACTGTTAAGAAGGGACATGTTTCCTAAATATCATAATTCGAACACTTTATCACCCATCCTGGACCTCTTAGAGTGAAAGAGTTTGAATTTAGTGTGCTAGTTTGAATTCAGTCTTTCTGTTTGGTTAGATGTTCTCCTGCTTGCTCAATTCTGGTGTTTGGCACATCAGCACCACTGTGGACTCTTAATTCAACATCTTCCTTTAGTGAAAGAATTTTATTTTTCCCTTTTTACAACAAAACTTAGTGGCTCCCACTCTCCAGTATCTGACCAGTTTATGGGACATCCAGAATCTGCCTAGCTAACCTAGCTAACCAGATACTAATTCAAATCAGACACCATACCAGAATATTAAATAGGCTACCAGAGAGATCTTGTGAACGAAATTTTTATTTACACACTGTATCTAGGAGCAGATACATAAACTCTTATACAATTAATTTCCAAAAATGTGCAAGAAATTACTATAATTTGTTTACAAACCAAAACACATATTAAAATCTATGGACTTTGGATAGTTCGTTCTGTGGTGTTCTCAGTACAAATGGTACACACCTGATTTGAAACATACAGAAAAAGTGTAAACTACAGCAATCTGGATTGCAAGTATTAATTTCATGGCACTCCAACAACTATGAAATTTCTTTAACCCAACATATATACTATTACAAAATTCTATAAGAATTTCTCCTCATCTCTGGATGTAGCATTTGGATAACTTTTCAGGAACAGTGACTACACATTTTGCCATGTTATGATTGATCAATAAAAAGGATGTTTATAAAAGACCTTTTTTTACAGGATTAAAAAAGTATTAAAAGAAACCAAATCTGTGATTACTAGCGTACCAACACCTTTAGAATTTAAATTTATGGAACTGGCTATTGTTCCTTATTAGAGTATTCAACAAAAGTATCTATTGCTGGTAGTGTGATTTCACTTTCAAATTAATATTTCACATTCAATGAAAAGCAATTAAGTTTTAAATCAAAATATATTATTTTGAATCATTCATAAAGCAATATCTCTCATATACTATGTGACACGTACAATAATTAAAATTGGCATTCCTGAAAGCATTGTTAGAAAGATAGACCTGTGGCACTAGGAAACATTGCATAAACCTATTTAAGATTTTAGTAACTTTTATCCTGTTTCAATAATACTGGCTCAGAAAATATAACATATACTTTGTGTTTCATTTCCTATATGCCAATGATTTTGCCTTTTGGCACGTGATTTTCTTCAATGGCAAGAGGGCTGCCCTAGGTAGCTGGTTTCCTTAAAACTATTTTTAGTTCTAGGTCATTTCCTGTGATATAATGTGTGACTTTTTAAATTTTCATATTGCACCAAGCAGAAAGAAAACAGTTTTCCTTAGACAGAGAAAGGAGACATTTTTCAAGTACGTTCCACAGCTTTCTTTTCATTTATAAAATGCATTGTCATAGTAAGCCTCAAAATAGCTTCCAGCCTCCACCAAGCTCTATGATGAAATATTTGATTAAAAAAAAAATTACCTCTGATCCATTTACTGTCACAAATGGACACAGCTTCCTGTTTTCCAGGAGGTCTGATTTCTTTTAAAGTACATACTTGAGAATCACTTACAAGTTGGGTCCATGTCACTTAAGTTCCCTTTCAACAGAATCCACAAACTTCAACAAATAGAATCTAGACCAAGCTATAGGATAAAGATTTCTCTCTTTCTCCCCTTTCCACTTTTACCAGACCATTTCAGTATCAGAAAAGCCAATCTTCCACATTATGTCAAACTGCCTAGGTCAAAAGAGGTACCTCTCTACACATAAGCAGCAAATTCTGCAATACACATTTCTGTTTGCAAATTTAATTTCTTGGCAAATCCTTTGATTTTTATCTATATACTATAAGAACATAACAATTTCAAGTTGAATTATAATAGGGCATATTACTTTAAGGTATTTTGCATTATGAATACACCAAAGTACATAAAAAATTGTTTTTCCAAATTAGAACAGTATTGACTTGCCCTCCAAAAAACCACAAAATACAATTTAAAAAACATTTGGATAAAGGTCAAAATAATCTTGACACTACATAGGCATATTTTAAGCACATGGCATTATGAGAAAATGCAGGGACAGGCTACATCCACAGAGATTGGTAGGTGTGGTCCCAAGGCCTCTGTACCGCCAGCTCACCGAGGACAGACAGACACAAAGAAGCCATCTCAACACTTACCATCAGCACAAGTGACTGTGACAATACCTGCCATCTAACATGGATGCACAAGGACTTCTAGATATATTTTAAATTGTTTAAAAATAAATAGTTTTGCAAAAATAGTTAAATGTCTTGCATCAATTTGATCACATGGTTACAACTCTGTAATAGTTCTTAATCCAAATAGCTTATAGTGAACACTTAAATTATATTATTATAGAATACGCCATATTCCATCTTATTAGGTGAAAACATCAAAAAATGAAAGGAGTCTTTGTAACAAGGTACAATCAATGCCCCACCAAAATGAAGTACCTTTCCCCATTTAAGTCAAAATACCAAACACTGTGATATGGCATTGTGCCTTTCCTTGGTAATATCTCAGTTCTGTCTCTTAAAAAAAAAAAAAAAACAGGCTGGGGATGTAGCTCAGTGATAAAACATGTGCCTAGCATGAACCCCAGCACCTCCACCCCCACCCCCCACAAAAAAGCAAAAACTAAGAAAAAAGTGAGGATACAGAGATGTTTGATGACAATGCCAGCCATAGACCAAAGACCTTTACCCTTGTGTTTTAAAGAAGGGAAGACGGGAAAAATTAAAGTGACACAGGAAGAAATGTCCAGCATTTTGCTTTAAGGCTTGTTTAGCTGGGAATGTTTTCTGAATGGAACAATCTGAAAATTAGACTATGTTGCAGAATTATAAAGTGAACAAACACTCCACATTCCAAAATAACTAAAAATTCTCAGGCATAATATCCCTTCCCATTGACTTACTCAAAAAGAGAAAAAACGAGAGGCCAAATTACTCTAGACTTGGTTCAATGAAAATAACAAATAAATGAAAAGCCTGTTCTGAAACTGCAGTGGATCCTGCAGGAGGCAGGCTTCTGTGTATCTATAGTTCTGTTTTCATCTTTTTCTCATGTGATGCTCCACAATTTCCAAAATTTTTCAACTCAAGTCACTAAGGGTTGATTTTATTAGAGGCAGGAGAAAAGAGAAGTCAAATCTAGCACATTTTATTGTGACTACATAAAAGAAAAATATAAATCCAACTTTAAAGCAATCTTTTCTTTCTATTCAAATCAATTTCAAACTTTTTTTAATAAACTTTAACATTGTTAAGAGAATCCAGTCCATTTATGAAAATTAGTTGTACAATCAAGTTCACCCAAGAATGTGTTGACTAAACTAAAGAAATCACAGATTAAACATTTAACCAAAGGAACAGTGCAGGCAACATGAACACAGCGCTCTCACGGGAACTGATCTCACTTCTGTAGTCACTATTCCAGTCTACAGGTCTTTACACTATGCCAATTTGTACCCGGGTTTAATGACAGAAAAGGCCACGATTGCTAAATTTGTGGTATATATCTCTTTATGACTCTTAAATGTAAGGCCATTTATTAAAATGGACAAACCACAAGATGAAAATGAAGGCAACAGAAAAACACAAAGTTTTCACAACCAAAATATTAGCACAACCTTAAAAATAATTTAGAAGTTGTAAAGATATGTGGCAAATTTGCATCCCATTAACTAAGATGATGTCAATTAATAATCCTAAATAAATCTTTTTGAAGTATGACATTAAAAAGTCATTTTCAGTGTATATGTAAATAGTTTTATCACACGTTCATTCAACAGTAACTTTTGAAAATGGGTCATTTAAAAAGACAAAGTAATTTTCATTCTGTAAGTTTCATTCAACTTTACTTAGGGTTGAAGACACATGAAATGTGCTTTTAATGCATAAAAATCACAGTGGATAGCAGCAAAGGACGGGGGGGGGCATCAAGGAGAATCTGATAATTCACATTGCGATTATTCGGCACACTAATGAAAGATAATTCACACTTCTAGAATCTCAAGACATCCCTTTTTAAAGAACCAAAATAAACCCAAGACACCTTGCAGACACTTCCCCACCCCTTAACAAACTGTTGACTCTTACACATAAAATTAAAATAGTTATGGCAGCAAAAGATTCTGATGGCAATGAAAGTTGTAAACTGTATCTCAATCTCTTTTTCTTATTCCCAAAGTGCAAGATGCAGGGTTCTCAATCTTTCAGTAGTGCTTCTCCTGTAAATAATCCTTCATTTTGTTTGGCAAAGGCAGTTTCTGAATCAGGTCTATCCTGGTATACTGACGTATAACGAAACGACACAGGTACTGCAGAGAACGCACCTGCATGAACCGTGACACTGGATTGGTCAGTCTGACGGGGTAGGTTGCAGATCCAGGCAACCGAGACCTTGAATAACAAAAAGCTCCATTTTCAGAGTCCCTGATTGAATGCTCGATTAGATCAACTATGGATGTATGTCCTTCCACATCTGGTTGTTCATAAAAGCTAAACCTACCATTCGAGTGCTCAATTCTAGTGTGAAGTGTTTTACCATGGGAACGAAAGCTCAAGCTTAGAAGGTAACGGTCGTCAGAACTATCCCGAACAAGAAAAGAACCATCGGGCACGTTGGCTAGCTTCCCTTCTGCCTCCCAGCGTGTGATTGGTCCCCAGTACCATCCTTGTTTTGCAAGTTTCTTCAGCTCTTCCGTAAGGCTTGTCACAACCATGGGACCACTACTTTGCACAGAGTCATAAACCCTTGCCACCCCAGGGGCAGAGTTAGGATCAAAATTCAAATGACAGCGCATACTTTCAGCCACATGGGCATCTGTGCCCGTGAGCCCACTGAAGTTCCTTTGGATCTGATTAGTCTGCATTGGAGGTAGCAATGGCGAGAGTGGAGGGACCTCATCATGACTTGCTCTGGGGCTCTGCAACATGACTCCTGTGGTGCCAATCAACAAGCCATTCACTGACTGGTCTACAAAGATCTCTGGGGCAACAACTAGGTCCTGGTCTACCTGATTCTCATCTTCGGCAAAAGAGCTCCCTCCCACTTGAGGAGGAACCGCAGAGACCTCCATGGGCGAAGAAGTGTCCAGACAATAGCTGCGCGATCCTTCCAAAGGACACATCCCCTCGTCTAAAGGCACGGTGTACTGAATGTAGTCCTGAGGCACAAGTCCAATAACTACAGGCACGTGTTCCTCCAGGTGGAGATGCAAGTCTCCGTGGGGAGAATCTGAACGCTTGAGGGAACCATTCTGCTCCTGGCACACAGTTTCAGCCTGAAGGTCATGGAAATCCTTTCGAACCCCGTTCAGCGCAGGACTTGGACTAGAAGAGTGGACCAAAGCTTTGACCCTCACCTCCATTTTGATACAGGTCTCCTCAGAGTTCGTGGGTCGGAGAGGCCAGGGCGTGGGGCTGTAGTGGTGACTGCGGAGGGAAGTGGACCTGATGGGCCTCTGAGCTCTGACGTCCTTGAAGACCACAGGAGCCGAGGAGGAGGAGAAGGTGTCCTCCTCAGCCAAGCCCCCCGAGGGCGTGCTGCCCTTGCCCTTGGGCTTCTGCTTCACAGAAAGTCGCCTTTTCAGGGTCCCCATCAGGCTCTCGCTCTTGGATCTGCTTTTCCCACCTTTCTCATCTTCGCTATTGATATCACAGCTGGCCATATCTTTACCGTAGCAGCTACCAAACAAGGAATCATCTTTTCCAAAGTCACTGGCTAGGGATGGCTGTTGTACTACCATGAAATCAGTGTCTTCTTTACTTTTATTCAAATTAAAAGACTTCCGGAAGGTTTTAAGACTAATTTTCTTCATTATGACTAGTTACCTAATCCAAGGGATCAATTTCTCACTGGAGTATCACACTCAAACATCTGGAAAGGCCGCAGTGCTGCATCTATATATTTTTCCAGCCTCATTTGACCACTGGAGCCATTTTCTAAAAAAAAAAAGAAATCAAAAAAGACAAAACACATTAAAATACCCACAAGTGATTTTGATTTTTCAAGTAGAACTTTCCACCAAAGTTTTCTTTTACTCAGTTTTAATCTTTTAGTTTCTGAAGAAGAACAACCAGTCTTTTGAGATGTCAGCTCTTTCAGTTTTTTCCTATTACACCCTGCATGGTAGATCACTGTCTGCTACGCAGTGGGCATGTGGCAAATACTGGATAATATTTAAGAACAAGCCGGGCACAGTGGTATATGTCTATCACCTCAGTTACTGGGGAGGCTGAGCAGGAGGACTGGGCCAACCTGGGCAATTTAGTAAGACCCAGTCTCAAAATAAAATAAAAAGGGCCAGGAATATAGCTCAGTGGTAGAGGACTTGCCCACCATGCATGAGGCCCTGGGTTCACCTGTACCCCCTCAACGACAGACATAAGAACAAGACCTCACCTATTTTATCCTTTTTATGCACCTTGCTTTTCTGTTTTATCCCTTTTTTTTTCTTTTGGCACTGGGGATTGAACCCAAGGGCGCTTAACCACTGGGGCACATTCCCAGCCCATTTTGTTGTTGTTGAATTGTTTACTTAGAGACAGGGTCTCACTGAGTTGCTTATGTGTGAAACAGTGCTCATGTGTACCTTCAACACTAAATCTGACTACTTCCCTTCCTCTACCTATTTGCCAATCCATGAGGCACTACATAGAACTTAGAGAATACCAGCCAAACTCATCCTCCAACAACTTACACACATTCTAAATATTTAAACATCTTTAAAAATATATAAATAAAAAGAATCCATAATCTTTGGAAAATTATCCATTTATTTTCACTAGTTCTTGCAGGGAAGGCTCATGCACTGTCACGTTCCTAGTTCCTAGCATAGAGAGGCAAAATGCCATAGGTTGAGCCCTTTCACCTCGTGCCTGAGCCCACTCAGCATCCTGGCAAATGACAACAGCTTGAACTTTGATCACAATCCTTAACTCACTCTGCATTTACTAAGCCCCTGTTTCACACACAGTACTGTATGGTTACCTGAAGACTAATAAATTATTTATGATCGCCTAATCCAAGAGGCAAAAACAGATGAAGGGATAAATTATAACATGAACCCATTAGAAAGAGTGGTAACTTAAGGATGCAGGTGAGAGAGGAGAGAGATCTGACAAATATTTGCTTTCAGTTATAGATAGCATTGGATTGGTATATAGCTAGAATCTGTATGAACACATACTTAGTAAGAACCATTCAGATCAAACAACCTATGGGGGATCAGCAATACCCTCTCCGTTAAATAAAGCAACTTTAAAACCATCTTACTGTCATATACTGTATTTTTTAATAAGACAGAAAAAAATAAAATACTGACAAATACTGTGCTACATCTACATTAAGCTGTCCTCAGGTGAACTCACCACATACCACCTTCTACTCAATCACTAGGTAAGTGTAACTGCCCTTACAGCACAATCAGTAGCTATTCCAAGGTGGTAAGTACTCAGATTTGAGTTAACCCCGCTAAATGTGGGGTTCAAACAGTTCTGCTTCCCACTATCACATCCATACCAAGACTGGCAGCCACAGGAGAAGCAGTTGGTAGTTATCTACTTGAAAATTATTCCTTTTCAACTACCAATCCATATGTACCTCAATAGTAATAAAGAAATAAAATTCAATCCTAGAGATTAGAAACTATATAAATTTCTATTAGACCATATGGTCTTTTATTTCTCACACATTTTCCAGGCAAAGATTACTCTAGAATTTTTAAGAGTATCTATTTTTCTGTTTGCACTTCCAAAAATATATGCCATCTTTTTATAGGATTACCATCTGTCTTAAGCTTAAGTAAATGTTCTGAATTAGTTCTACTGCTTTTCTAATTGTAAAATTTTAAGTTTACACATGGTTTGAAAATATGTACAATGGTTCAAGGAAAAAGGTTTTAGATTCTTAGAGTAAACTTTATATATCACGAACTCTTTTTTAAGGAATGATTTCAGGCAGCTGTAACATCTAATGCCAAAACATCAAGACAAATCAAATTACTTACTTCCAGCAAAATGGTCTTATCATCCTCATTTTACAAATAAATTTAAAATTTATCTTAAATTAAAATTCGCCCAATGAAATGAAATGATTTGCTACTAGAAAACAGCAGATCCAGAATTGGAACCTGGCTGTGAACTAACTGCCTCGTTTGTCTTCCTACCCCTTAAATCAGTGGCTCTTAAAACTTTCAGGCCCGGGATACCTTTACTCTCCTAAAACTTATTAAGAACACGAAAAGCTTTGTTTATGTGGATTATAGCTACTGAAATTTATCCTACAAGAAATTAAAAATAGAAGAGTTTAAAATATTTAATTAATAATTCATCTTCAAACAATATACTTATTAAGTGTTAACAGACAGCATTTCAGGGAAAAGAACTACACTGCCCCACTACAGAAGGCAGCGACAGAAATGGCACTGCTTTACATGTTCAGTCTCTTCTGCCACTCAGAGGAGACAGCTGGACTTACTCCGCTTCGGCACTGAATATCTCACAACATGTTGTTTTAGTTGGAGTGTAAGAAGAAATCCAGCCTAGTTTAGAGCTATACTTGAAAAAGGAGGACTGTATCTTATTTATAACGTTTTCATATCATTGTGGATATTGTTCTTTGATATTATACCAAACCTCAACAAGTGACAATTTCTTAAAAGTTAATCAGGGCTGGAGATATAGCTCAGTTGGTAGAGTGCTTGCCTTCCATGTTCAAGGCCCTGGGTTCAATCGCCAGCACCACAAAAAAAAAAAAAAAAAAGGTTAATCACACTGCGAAATCTGCAACCATATCAAAAATCATTTTCTCTATTACAGTCTATCGTGCATCTTAAATCAACCTTTTTCACGTGGGTGATTTTGTAACATCATCTATTAGTTATTTCATCACAAAGTCATGTTTGTGAATGTCACTGATCTCCTTAGAACACTCTTTGGTAGTGGGCCACAGTGACGGCAACGGCGAGCTCAGAGCTGTGACTTGTGCTTAGAAGTCTGAACTGTGCTACTGGCAACAATACCATTGGCTATTCTCAGGGAAGTCACAAGGCTCACCTTGATCATTTACAAAGTGTCTACTAAAACAAGTTGAATAGTGTGTCTTTCAATTGTTCTTTTAAGAAAAAGTAATTTTTTTTCATGAAAAAGGTAGTAGATGCAGTCAGTAACTCAAACTGTGGCAGCAAGCACTTCCCCCTGAACTGGCCTTCCTTCTTGTTTAGTGTGCAGCTGCGCTTTCTAAATACACCCATTTCAAGGTAAGGATTGTAAAAAGATGTGTACTCAAGGCAAAGACTTAATGAAATTAATATTTTTAGCTTCACCAATGGCACAATCAAGCATGACAGAAATTTTCTTTCATAATTCTGTTTTGTTTTACCAAATTGCTTGTCAATAAAGAACATATGACCATTATTTAAGTTCACTACTATTACTTAAGTTTGCTACTATTAAGTTTGACATATGGTCAACAATGTTCTCTCTAGCATTATTTTTTAAAGTTGTATTACTTGATAATTTGCCTAATAAGGGTAAATACATACTACATACTGGCCTGATATGCGCCAGGCCTTGATTTCAGCTTTCTGAAGATATTATGTCTTACTGAGCTTCATGATCTACAACACCTTATAAACTCAGCACTATGCAGGAGCCAGTTATGACACTGTGGAACCGCCTGTCTGTATTTATTAAAGTCCCAGCTTCATTTAGGAGCTGGATAATCTTAGGAATGATAGGTACTATCTCTTGGGTTAGAGATGGAGTTAAATGTGCTACTGCATGTGGTGTCCTTAAAATAATGCATGTGTTAGAAGTATTTGCAGCTAGCAGTGGTACTAAGATTCTCAGTGTACAAACAGGAAAGCAGAGGCACAGGCAGATGAAGCCACTTGCTTAAAACTACAACTGATCAACGGATTCTAGAGCCCACTAAATCAATACACACACTTTTGACTGCATAATTTATTTTATAAGAAATATGAAATTAACCTAAATTGAAGGAAATAACAATCCACATTAAAAATTAGTGGCCTACTTTTCTGAATTATGATGACCACAATGTCAAACACATAGAAGTCCCAATATACTTGACTCAAGAAAGCAAGCTATGAAACAACACAGAGATGATCCTACTTGTGTGCACATTTGTACACCTAAACGTGCACATTCAGTGTCAGAGCATTTAATTCACAGAGTGAATACAGCTCTAAAGAATTCAAAAAGGGATCAGCAAGCCCAGTTGAAGTTCCTGTTCTCATTAATTCTTTCTGTAACAACTGAGCAAGTTTAACATTACTACAAAACAACTACCCACTTCCATACCTACTAAAGAAAATACAGCAGTCTAGATACAGGAACGCATCTGTGTGTCCATCACCTGGTATCAGGAAAGGCAGAACCTGAGTTCCTCAGAGCCAGAGGTAATCAGCTCTCCAGTCTTTCCAGTGCTTAACTTCACGACACAGAAACTTCCCTCATGCCTTGCCTCCATGTCCCACACTCGTCCAGTCTTCTGCTTCCCTCGTCAACCACAACTTGGGGCTCTTCCAGTGGCTCTGCTCTCTGTGCCACCAGCAACAAAAACCTCATCCAGCCACTTCCCTGATACCCAAACCATGGCGCCCTTAAGTTCAGTTCACGTTGTACAGCAGTGGTTTTCATCATTCACTATGATTTCCACAGATTTCCTTAATTTTGCCCAATTCTTTGCATCCTTTGTCTCCCTCATTTTATCATTCCAGCTCACAACTTTGTCTTGACAATTACAAAACACTACACTTCCTGGAAAAGTCTGAAGACTCAAGCTGCAAACAATGGTCGAAAATAGGGGTGGACTCAGAAATGTGTTTCTACTGTAAAATTGTAACTCTCACCCCCGGAGGTCAGAATGTAGTAAAAATGTACATTTACCTTCTTTGCTGCTCATAAGAACTCCATTTAGCAGAGACTATTTCATCTCCATTTTACAGAAAAACAAACCAAACTTTTGATAGTTTAATACTTTGCTCAAAGTCACAAGGAAGCCACTCATACTGTGAAGGAAGCATACGAAAAGGTCTTTAAACTATTTGTCATTAGGGAAATATAAATTAAAACTGTAAGGAGATTCCATTCTTTACACTGCCAGCTGAAAAGCTGGAACATGATGTGTGCTACTATGACACGAAGCACAGTGAATAGCAGCCTAGGGATTGATGGCACTGGGGCCACTCTCCTGAGCTCACACTGCAGCTGTCACTTTCTAATGACCTGGATACTCATGGCTGGTTTCCTCATCTGGAAATGCAGATGAGAACAGCATCTGCCTAGGGAGATTCACCTCTGGCATGATGGAGTTAGGAGGTCCATAAATCCTCTCCCCCAAAGCTAAGTATAAAGCTGGATTAAACCACCAAAAGCAACCCTTTCAGCACAGAAGACATAAGCAGCATACCCCAAACTAAGACACTTAATGCACAGAAACTAGTGACCCTGAGTAAGGCAGAGGGAAGCACCCCTACAAAGGGAGCAGGAACCACGGAGGCAGAGGAAGGACACATTAATAGTGCTGAAAAAATTTTTAAAAAAACTGTTAACCAAGCATTTTATGTTCAAAACAATGCAAGGGTTACCAGGAAAAATTAAACATGAAATAAACACATTCCTCTGAGGCTGAGTAAATATGTTGCTAGCAGGCCCGTCATATAAAATAAAAATAATTAAAAAATATATATATATATGTATATATGGAAGTGCTTCAAATTCAAAGACAGTAACCTTTGGTGATAACTGGAAATGATAAACACATACATTAATGCAAAATACTGCATCTCTTCTTCTTTAAGGGACATGAGATGGTGTAAATCAATAACTATAACACTACTGAAGTCATAACACGTTACACACAGATGTAATATTGTGAAATGGCATGAAGGAATTCAGGAAGCAACAGAGGAAGTTAAAGCCAAATGTCGACATCTTACCAGAACCAATATTATTTTGAAGTAAACTGTGACAACTAACAATACATACAGTGATCTATGGAAGAATCGCAAAGAAAACTACTCCAAAAATATTGTTTTAAAAAAAAGCCACAAGATGAATTAAACTGGTGCTAAAATATGTGCACTGAACACAAAAGAATGCAACACAGGAACAAATAGAAATAAGAAATAAATTTTTAAAAATCCAAAAGCAAAACAATAGGTATAAATCTAAAACATCAATAATTACAGTAAATGTGATGTGCTGGACCCATTACTCCAGGAGTCAGCAACTACAGTACAGTGTGTAGGCATAGGCCACCATCATGCTTTTTGCAGCATTCATGAAAATCCTCAGCAAACCCCATACTTAACAATCAAAGGACTGAATGCCCTGCTCCAAGAGTGAGAACAAAGGAAGGAAGCCTGTGCTCACCGCCTCCAGTGGACACTGGACTGAGGGGTTAAGCCAGAAAAAACAGTAACAAAATGCATCCAAACTGGAAAGTAAAAAGCATAAAACTACCTTCATTCACAGCTGACATAATTTTTTATGTAGAGAAGCTTAACACAACTATGTGTCTATAAATCTTGTTCCAACAACAGAATTGCTAGCAAACAAAAATCCTTACCTCACACCATATGTAATACGAATTAATTAAAAATGCATCACAGAACTAGATGTTAGAGCTAAAACTATAAAATTTCAAAGAGAAAACTTTTGTGATGTTGGTTTGGGCAGAGGGTTCTCAAAGGTAATATCATAAGGCACAATATTACATTAAAAATTATGAGACTTCAATTAATTTTTAAAAAATTAAAAATGCTCATGCTTCAAAACAAACAATTAAAAGAATGACAAACTACAGATTTGGAGAAAATATTTGCAAACTATAACTGACAAAGGACTTGGACCAAGTTCTTTATATAAAGAACTCTCTTGACTAAGGCAAATAACCCAATTTTACAAATGAGCAAAAGGTGAGGTCTAGTTCAGTGGCAGAGCATAGGCTAATGTGCCAGAGGCCCTGGGTTCAGTTCTCAGAAACACAAATGCACGCAGAGTGAAATACCTGAGTAGAGCTTTCACCAAAGACTTACAAATGGTTTAAAAAGCACATGAAAAGGTCTTTAAACTATTTGTCATTAGAGAAATATAAATTAAAACTGTAAGGAGATTCCATTCTTTACACTCTCTCTAAAATGAAAACAGCATATCACGTGAAGTTAAGGATGTAGAGCAAATGGAAACCTGATATGCTGCCGACATATATAAAGAAATGAATGATAGGGCTGGTGCATTTCAGACCTTCATCAGGTCACATGGATCATCTTGTTTTTTTTATAGCTGCATAGTACTTATGCCTCATTATGCATGTGTGTGTATGGGGGGGTAGTACCTGAGAAACTCAAGTTTCTCCTTTTCATTTCAGTCAAATTTATCAGTCTTCCTTTTATTATTTGCCCCTTTTACTGCCTGAAGAAAATTCTCTTACACTGAAATACACATTCTTGTGTATTTACTACTAAAAAAAAAAAAAAAAAGTAGTAAAGCTTTGTTTTCCCCTAGTTAATACAATATTGATTTATGTATGAGGTAGGAATTTAATTTTCTCCACATGGATAACCAACTGGCTTAACACATTCATAGAAAAATACTGACCTTCATTGCACCTGGACAGTAATGTTTCTAATGATATTCATTGCTGAATATAACCTTAATTGCAAAAATTAATTTGACAATATGAAACTTTTAAAAATCATACTTTCACCTAACAATGCTATTTTATGTATCTTCAAGAAATAATATGAAATCACCCTGCATTGTGATTTTAAAAAGAGTTTAAAAAATCAGAACATCCTAAGCCCAACAGTTATGAGAACAGTAAACACAATCCTTGCATATCTACACAATGGAACTTTAGGGAACCAAGAAAATTGATAAGTGTACAGTTATAAATAACATGGGGAACATTCATATTGTTCATTTGTTAAGTGCAAAAACACAGGAAACAAAATTATATGTAAAGTGTGGTCTCAATTATGTAGAAAGAATAGGGAGGAAAATTGGATCAGAAAGAAGTACAGCAGAACTATTAACAGGATGACAAATTATTCACAAATGTTAATTTTTAATATTTCATTTGGACAATATTCTGCATTGAACATGTAGTGTGTTTATAAGAATAAAGTCTACAGGTTTTTTTGTTCTGAAACTGCTTTAAGGAATGGCTGAGTAAATCCACCAAGTTAAAGCAAAATGCTTTACTTGGCTTTTAGTTATATCACAACCAAATAATAAATATTAGATGAGACTATTATTTTTGCTTTATTAGGACCTAGACAGCCTCCTCCTCCTTATTCCATGTAAAAATTATTTTCTGCAAAGCTGAAATGACAATTTCATACTGGTGTATGTGTGTAGAGCTATATAGATATAGACAAAGAGACACACAGACACACACAAATACATGTAGTCAGGAACTGGTCTTAAATATTCAAAGTTTAAATAATAAGAATGATAAACCTAACAACTTTTGAATAACACTCTACCCTCCTAACTATATTCCACAATTAATTACTGTGTCCACTCCCTGGCATATACCAAACCTCCAGTGCCGCTCCACTCCTGGCAAAAACACAGCACTAGTTAAACCCAACCCTTGCCTTCACCAGGCCTCCACCCATACTGATGAATGTGGATGGGAAACAACCACCCTGACTGCTCTCACTTCATATTTACAACCACACACTTCAGGTGGATCCTCAATACTGCCTGGAGATCAGACTGCACTTCCCTGATCCACTCCCCCACTCCATTCTGACCATTCCACATCATCATCACCTTTCCTCACACTGTAATGCCTGCTCTCCATATTCAGCCTCAGCTGATGCCCAAATTCCAACATCACTGAGAAAACCAAGGACATCAAGAAGAAACTGGACCCGTCCAGTACATCTATCCACTTGGTGACATCTGTTCCACATCTACCTCCTCCCAGCTCCTTTCTGAAGGCAGCCGCCCCAAACTTCATCTCCTAACAATTTTCCTGTTTCTCACATAAAATCCAACTAGTCTTGACCCCACTCCCCCACCAGCCGTGGTTCCATCTCTCTAACCCCCTTAGCAGCACAACACCTGGAGAGAATTGTATGAACTCAGGGAGCTAAAATGCCTCCCCTCTGGTTTTCTCCTGCAGCCACAGCAGAGCTTTCTCCGCATCCAGCACAAAGAAACTCCAGCATCAGTGCTCAGCCTTCTTAAATGCTCTATTTAGCTCCTTTGGCCACTCCTCTTTCCCTGACACCATTTGACCTCTTTGCTGCAAGGACACCACGCTCAGGGTCACTCCTCAGACTCCTCTGCAGGCTTCCCTCAGACTCTCCATGGAGCTCCGCAGCTCTCAGGCTTTGGTCCTCTATTCTCCATCTATATTCACTTACCTGATAATTTCACTCATTCTCATAGTGCTAAACAGCATCTATGTGCCACCCACTCCCAAATTCTTATCTCTTTATTCAAGACTAATATTCAAATCCCTCCTTGATGTTGCCACTTGAGTGTTTTATAGGTGTCTGAAACTGCATGTTCAGCACTAAATTACGGGTCTTACCCACCCCACTTTCAAACCAGCTCTGCTTGCAAGATCTCCTACTTCCACTTATGGTTACTTCATTCTTCCAACTGCTCAGATCAAGACATTAGAATCAGCGGGGCAGAGTGGCACACATCTGTAATCTCAGTGGCTCAAGGGGCTGAGGCAGGAGGATCACAAGTTCAAAGCCAGATTGAGCAACTTGGCGGCGAGGCCCTGCCTCAAAATAAAAAAAATAAAAAAGGGCTGGGGGTTGTGGCTCAGTGGTTAAATACCCCTGGGTTCAATCCCTGTTACAAAAAAAAAATTCCAAAATCACCTTGGTTCCTTTCTGTGATACTTTACATCCAGATGTCACAAATCTCACTCTCATCTACCTTTAAAATACATGCAGAACCCAGCCACTTTTTACGACTCTACCCAGACAACTGTCCTCTATCACCTGTGTTATCATCACAGCCTCCTCATTCGTTTTCTTGCTTTCTCCTTTGGTGTGGTTCAGTCTTCTCTCCAAATGGCACCAGTGTTCAGGGAACTGGGACAGATGCTGACACTGGCTACTGCTACGACCCTGAGTAATAAAGCCCTTTTTCTCTGATGCTGGAATCCCATGATCTCTGCCAGCATCCATGAAACTTAGCAAGTTAATTTGTTAACATGTTAGCTTACATGTAAGGTAAAACAGAAGATTCTTGGTACCAGGGATTGAAACCAGGGGTGCTTAACTACTGAGCAACACCTCCAGCCCATTTTTATTTTGAGACAGGGTCTCAGTTGCTTAGGCCTTCATAGTTCTTGACAAGTACATAAAAGTAAAAATAACTGATGTATAATAAACATAATAAAATTGCCTTGACTTCTTTCAGGGCCTACAGATCTTACACTAAGCTCTTCTTTGAAAAGCAATAGGAAATGTTTGCCTGGTTACAAAGGTGGATACAAAAATTAAATATAACCAAGTTAAGAAAATGGACTTAAAAGTTCCCACATATTTTAAAACTGAATAAATTTAAAATGAATTTATATTTGCTATTTTTAATGGTTCACTCATACTTTGTAGGCTACTGACAACCAAAACATGGGGTAGTTCTTACCTAAGTCTGCAGGACGATACTAGTGAATCTCCTTTCTGAGTCTGTATTCCCATATAAAATGAGATTAATCTCTAAAGCATGTCCAATTCTAAAAGTATCTGATTCAATGAAAATAATAAAAATTTGCAGATAACTAGCTATTTAACCTGCACAGGACTTTTCCGTGAACATTTCTTAGCATTTTTCACTGTAACTATGCTCAATACATTCCTGTTAACGTGAATGTGAAGTATGTTCACAACTTCAATCACCAAAAACTGTTAATGGAGCCAGCTTATAAGATTTTAATCTATAAAGTAAGTTTTCAGCTCTCCTCAGATTTTTACATAGTGTAATTAAAAAGCAGTGCACTTATGTACCAACACATCACTTTTTTGTATAGATACATACTGAATTTCTAATGTATACATTTTTACATCTGTTTTAGGCACTTACCTACTAAAAGAAGTATATTTTAAGAAATATTTGGTCTTGTCTCTGGTTCCTGACACCAATCTCCTAAGTGACATTAAGTATATTTTGTTATTAATAACAAGCCTTTTTCAAATACACCTGAGTTTACAATAATGAGGTGATTTAGAGTGGGGCTCCTAGAAAGAACAAGCAATCACAGTGGGGGAGCTTTCAGCCCCATCCTACAGCAGAGGCAGAAGGGGAAAGATGGAGATCAAACAGAAGGTGCAAACACTCTGACCAAATTCAGAAAGCTCTGGACTCAGGAAAGCAGTGAGAGGGAGGGGTACCTAAGAGGGCACAGAAGCCCTTACCCTGCCCTGTGCACCTTTCTGTTTGGCTGTTCCTGAATTGTATCCTTTGTAATAAACCAGTAAATAAAAGTGAAGTGTTTCAGTGAGTCCTATGAACCATTCTAGTAAACTGCTGTGTCTGAGGAGGAGGCCATGGGAACTCCTGACTTACAGCCAGCCAGTCAGGAGGAGCAGCCCAGGACTTGCAACTGGCACTGAAGTGGAGGCAGGCTTGTGCACCAAGCCCTCCACCTACGGGGTCTGTTCTAACACTAGACAGCATCAGAACTGAAGAGAAAGAGTTTTCATGTCAGAGAACTGGTTCAAGTAGCAATAAAAATGGCTTATTTCTTCACTGTGTATTTCAGACTGGGTTTTCTATAACTATTAAACATTTCTGACAAACTGATAGTTCACCTGATCTGAAATCAGTGAAGACTTCGGAAGCACTGATAAAGAAAATCATGTACATGTACCCAACCGGGTACAGGGGCCCACACCTGTAATCCTAGCTATTTGAGACTGTGGCAGGAAGATCACAAAGTTCAAGGCTGGCCAAGGCAATTTAGTAAGACTTGTTTCAAAAACTAAAAAGGGGTAGGTATGTAGCTCAGTGACAGAATGCCCCTAAGTTCAATATTCAGTAACATAAAAAAAAAGGAATGAAAGAAAATATAGCACCCCCAACTTATTAAGATCCTTAAACGATCCCGACACTCTCCCTACCTTATTGACTAAGGTACAATCAGGTGACCCTTTGAAATAATGTAATAAATCCTGACTTCTAGAATAAGAAATGTGAAACATTTTAAATGTTGTTATTTTAATACAGTTTCCCTATATATAAACATAACTGACAATTACAAATTAAAACCAATTAACATTTTAACAAATGCTAATAAAAATATTTTAGCTGAAAAATATTACAAATTCCTTAAAAACCTTACTACTTTCATTGCCTATGGGAAAGTATAACTTACTGATTAATCTACCAAGCAGAAAGGAGCCTTTAAGAATTTTTGACAAAATGTGAACTATTAACAGAGTCCAAAGAAGAGATGGTTTGCTATTTCTGTGTTGACTCAGGGTCTGATACTATAGCAAATAGGGCTGTGAAGAAGTCCTTCATCAGTTTTCATTCTCAAGATTGAAACATATAAAAATCTCTTAAATATACTGTTAAAACAAAAATCTTAACTTCTGAAAAGCAATATGTACATAACTTCTGAAAAGTAACAAAATTGCTTTGACGGCTCTCTGAACCTTAAGATCGTAATACAAAAGCTCCAATTTAAAAAGCAATTTGTTAATTATTCAAATGCTTCTGTATATGAATATATAAGATATTTTCATTTAGTTTGCACTAGAGAATATGTGCTTTCAGTTAAAAATAATATTCTCATTTTCTGAAGTGCTACCCAAATTAAGAATGGGGTTTTAGTGCAGATTTGGGATGTAAAAGGTAATTCATGCAACATTTATTATTAAATGTACATTAAGAGCCAATGTAAACCTCATTCACTGATCATTAGAACTATAGGGGATCTTAGATAGCAATAACTATCCAACTTAATAAGAGTCCTATTAAGTAAATAACATAAAGACCTTACAAAATAGAAGGATTATTTCCTTTGTAATAAAACTTGAGTGTCAAAAGTAATCATGAGTGAATTCCCAAATATGAGATCTCTGTTTTTAAAAAGACCCAACTTCAAATAATTCATATTACCCACTATAGATCAGTAGGCATTTCATAAATTAAGTTACCAGAGATCAGTAACATAGATGTGGCTTCAGGAGATCATGAAATGAAAACTCATTACAATTATTTAAAGAAAAATTACATTTGGCTT